CTGCCCTTGGGCATGCAGCATCCCCTGCCCCGCAGCCGCCCAGGGAAGGGGTGCAGGGTGCTGTGGGGTGCTGCAGGACCCATGGGGGGGAGAGGCACCCTATCAATATCTGTTACTACGTTTCTTAATGGGGATCAGTTGATCGCTGGTGAGCCAAGCCCCCCCGGGAGGGGGGCATTCCAGCCCCTACCACCAGCACCGGCTGCTTTCTGCCCCAGCAGAGTGTGTGCAAGGTTTTGGGCAGATCAGGGCCTGATCCTGCAAACAGGGCTGCCTGAGCCCAGGGAGGGAGCAGGGGCAGCCCGTGGGCTGCAGCCCTGAGCTTAGTCTGGGGCCGAGGGGATGCAGGTCGGATGCTGCAGCCCCTGGCCTGCGCTTTCCCCGCTGGACGGTGGGCAGGAGCTGGATTAAGCTGCCCCACCAGGCTGGGGACAAGGTGGGTCCCCAAGCCGGGGCCAGCCCTTGCGAGCTGCATGATGGCCGGCACGGGGCGAGGCCAGGCTGGTGGCAGAGAGGAGCACCCCCCTGCCCTGCCCGGGCACCGCTGGCGTTAGTGCCATTGCCTGGTTCGGGAGTTATTTTTAGATTTCCTGAAGCTTGTTTTCTGCCGTCCCTCCCAGCGTGCTCAGGCTCCCCAGGGGCAACCCCACCTTGACAAGCAGCTTTCCTTGGGAAGATGCTGACCAATGTTTCCAGAAAGCATCCAAGGGATTTCCTGTTTATTTTGCAAAATTCTCTTTATTATTTTTTCCTGTGTTGTTTGATTCAATCTCACATGAGCGAAATCACCTTGAAATGGAGCCTGCGGTTAAAAAATAGACAAAGAGTCAGTAACACAGCAGCCCAGAGGCTGTGGGGATGCACGGCTGGATTTGGCACCCGTTACCATCCTGGTGTCTGCAGGGCACGGTCCAGCCCGGGGTCCCTGGGGACCCAGCAGCGCCTCGGCGTTCCCACGCTGCAGGGACCTCGCACGGAGCTCCCTGCCGGTGCTGGTGTGTGGAGGGGGATGTTTTCCCTTCCCCAGCCACTCTTGGCCTCCAAAATGCCCTGAGTCCCCTGGCTGCTCGTGCCGCTTGTCCCTGCTCCAGCCATCAAGGCCACCGCTGGGCACGAGCATCCCTGCGCACGTGGCTGGGTGGCTGCAAAGGTTTCAAATCGGGGTGATTTAGCCTGAACCTCTCCCTGCCCTCAAAGAGCAGCTGGCTCTGCAGCTGGGGCATCGGGCTGGTTTTGGGGTGCCCCTTTGGCAACGCGTTGGTGGCTTGGTTGCCCTTCTGGTGCGGCCGCACGGTGATGCCCCCGCAGCCCTTGCAGCGGGGAGGTGGTTTGGAGCCGGGACGTGGGTGTTTCCCGGGTGGGGGGCAGCTCTGCCCAGTGCTGCTGGTGGGGTCAGCCCCAGCCTCGTGCCACCCACGTGCCTCCAGGTGTGCTGGGCTGGCCATGCCACTCTGTTTACTCATGGTTTTTAGCCAGAATATTTAATTTCCAGGAGCATAAGGTAGCTTGGGGAGCTGGAGCTGCTGGCAGGATGGGTCAGACCTCAGGCACCGTTTGCAGTAGATGCTGTGCTCAGGCTGGGGGGCTT